TTTAGGAAGAAGAAGAAGTCTCAAGAGAAATATAAAGGTGCTCCTCGTGAATCTAGAAATAAATCTAAAACTGTGAGGTATCACAAGTTTCATGGTTATGGGCATACGAGGAATGGTAACTTTGCTAGCAGTAGAAATCGGGATGAGGCTATGAATGTTACTCTCACTGATGATGAGTCTAGCTCGGATAATCAATGTGAGAAGTCTAGTCATAAGGAAAGTGAAAAATACGTTGCCTTTACTGCTAGGACTAGGAGTGGATTTGACAAGAGAAGTAAGACGGATGAGGACATAGATAGTGTTGAGCATTTTGGAGAAGATTTTCTGAGAGTAAGGAAAATATTCATAAGACTTACGATAAAATGTATGAGGATAGTCTTAAGATTCTTACGATGACGAGTCTAGCTCGGATAATCAAAGTGAGAAATCCAGTCGTGAGGAAAATAGAAAATACGTTGCCTTTACTACTAGGACTAGGAGTGGATCTGACAAGGGAAGTGAGACCAATGAAGATATAGATAATAGTGAGAATTCTGGAGAAGATTTTGAGAGTGAGGAAGATATCTATGAGACTTACAATAAAATATATGAGGTGAGTCTTAAGATTCTTGCGACTAATAAAGCCTTAAATTCAAAGGTAAATAAGCTTAAATTGGAGAAAGAGAAGCTTTTAAAGTATATCTAGGAATCTACCTCAACCCTGAGTGAATTGAAATCGATGATTGAATCTTTAGATACTTAAGTTAAGAATTTCACTAGTGCGCTTGAGAAGTCTTCTAGGAAAGCCAGTGAGCTAACCTCTGAGAATGAGACTTCAGAAATCCTGATTAAAAATCTTTTGAGCGATCTAAAATATTCTAAGTCTCAACTTATTGCCTTTCCTAGTGGATCTAAAAAGTTAGATAACATTCTAGAAATGAGCAAGCCGATTGGTAATAAGGGAGGTCTAGGCTTTAAAGAGAATATGGCTAGTACTTCAAAAACCACTTTTATCCTTGTCATTGACCAACCTAAACATTTGCCTAACCCAGAAACTAAGAATAAGGGATTTATAGGTTAGTGGACTGCTAAACAACATATGACCCGTTGGCCTAGGAATAGACGACAATGATCACACAACATTGGTCCAAGTTTATCCCTACATGCTTTCACTATCGTGAGTTAGGACACATGCCCTAGGTGTCATCAATTCTTGAATAAATATTGAAACAAGAGCTTCAATAGGAATAAAAATCAGGAGTTTATAGGTCAGATTGGATTCCTTACCGATCAAGTAAGTCGAATGACCAAGTTGGTGACACTGTTGTCTGGGAATTATTCTCCCACTAGGCAGATTTGGGTGAAAAAAAAGTAATCTAAAAAATTCTGAAATAGATCACGATACTTTTAAAGGTAAGAGAATGTCTTTACCTAACTGATTAGATAATTTTGGTGCATGCCTATGATTTGTTACTTGAGTGATTGATTGGTGCATACATCTAATCTGTTTGTTTGCTTTTTATGTAGTTGTTTCTTGTATGTGTATCCTCATTCTCTTTGCATTAGCACATGCACATGTTGTTTGTTTTGTGCGTGATTTTGTGTGTGTGTGTGTGTGTGTGTGTGCGCGCTTCGAGCTTTCATGTTTTTAAATTTAAAAAGAAACAAAAAAAATTGAAAAATGAAAAATACAGAAAAAAATAAAATAAAATAAACAAGGAATGAATTTTTTTCTATAGCATGAGATATAACATTCTTGAACTTGTGTTTTGTGACCATGTATGGGCTAAGTTGATGAGCTATAGCACATTGTCCATTACTTGCTTTGCTTAGATTATTATGGAGTACTTAGTATATGTGTCTTCATATACCATCTGCACTACACACATTATGATATTGTAAGTGGGATTTAACCGTGTGTGCAAGATTTGGGATGGCAGTCACTTGTTTCTAAGGTGACTTTGAACATGAATTGACCAAATTTGTTAGAACTAAACTTAAGTTTATTCCCTCAAAATAAAAAGCTCAACATCGTATGTTTTTCTTTAGAGCCTATTTGACTCGAACAATTAAGTTTGCTGGGTATTTCAAAATATGGTGCCTATGGTCAACTGACTTCAGTTAAACGGCCTAAAGTTCGCTACAGGGGGTCATCTCAGTCACTTAATGAAGAAGGACCTGCACTTGAGATATACAAAATTGATGAGTTTTAAAAATATTTAAAAATGTGAAAAATGTTTGCTCAAAATTAGGAAGAGAAAAGAAAAGATCAAAATATACATACAAAATGAGCTTCATTTAAAGGTCTTAATGTGCTTAATGTTTTGACTTTCATAAGTAGGAAGATAAACTTATTAGCAATGACATTTTGCATGTCCTTCTCACAAAATTGAGGTTTGGAGTCCTACTTACAAAGGATTAGTGACACTTTACACACATGGATCACTAATACTATTTACTCTCTTTTAACTTAAAATGAGTATGTGGAAAAGTTTACTAATCATTGATTATACTTGTGCATGCTATCAACTGCATTTTTTAGTTGTTACATATTGTTGCTAAAATTGAGTTTGAAATTGTACCATTCGTCATTTGTGACAAAAGGGGGAGAGAATATACAAAAGGGGGTAATCTTGAAATTGAAATTTGCATTTTATGTGTAGGAGTCGTTGGAGAGAGACATAGATATATTTTGATACTGTATAAAAAAGTAAAGAGTTTACAGTAAAGGGGAGAATTTGCGTGGTATTGCACTTCATATTATAATGCATAGCTGTTTGAGTTTTGTGATGTTAATGTTTCAATTGGTGTTTAGATTGACATTAATTTCAATTTCAATCGAGAAGCTAGAGACGACAGCAATATCTTGGAGATTACATAAAGTAGATCGGGAAGTCTAGTTGTAGCCATGAATGTCGATGACCTACGGTACCAGGACTCACAAATTGTCTCAATAAGAAGTTACCATTATGTTGGGCAAAATACCTCAACTTGAGAGGTCTCATAATAACGATGAGTTGATTAGAGATTATGTCAATGATAAGTTATCATTGTGTTGTGTAAAATGCCTATCACTGTGTTGGGCAAAATGTATCAATTGTAGAAGTTTCATAATAATGACGAGGTAACACGATCACCGGAGCTCATGTGATGTTAATGGGGGAAGTGGACCAAATATTGGTGTTCACACCAAGCCAACATTATAGTTGTATATAGTCTTCCCAAGTCCAAGTATGAATATTCATATCACACATGTATTTGATTCAAACATAATCGGAGTGCCTAGGTGATGAATTTTGAGATAAATGAGTCCATGGAGATGTAGTGTTGTTCTAAAGAG